ATTGTGTACTGTGGATCAATTGTTATAAACATATTAAATTAGGCAGCATATATTTTATATATAAAGAAATAACCATACATAGAATCAATCAGCAATATTAATGCGATTAATGGCGAAATCACTTTGCTAATAAAAACATAATGTATATATATATATATATATATATATATATATATATATATATATATATATATATATATATATATATATATGTCAGTTATCAGTTATATCCTGCTAATTTCCCTCTGAAAGTTCTCCACTGCCATAACCGGGTATTGAACTCACACACTTTGGGTCCTGTCACTGGATCTAACCAACGCCTTTATCTACTTTATCCGCTTTAAATCCCCCCCCCCAAAAAAACTCGATAGCCCCAAAAACTAATGATTCTTATATGGATCGAAAAAGTAGCCTTAAAGTGAGCATATAGGAAAATGCGACCGAACTTTCTTTCCAACTTTACATATTCAATTGCTTCTATGAAATCGTAGTTAGTCATTGTAAAATAACAGTATCAGGCATATCCGTGCTAATTCACTAACCAGGGAACAAGCAGAACTAAAAGAGATTTTGTAAAAAAAAATTCTTTATTTTATTACCTGACTCAATTTTCTGCATTAATATCTTACTATCAATTATTCAGTCGTGCAAATTTTTTTTTTTGAGACTTCTTGAGAAATCTGGACAAAATAATCTCTTAACTGATTGACATGTAATAAATAAGAATTTTTTTATAAACAGTTGATAAATAATTAATACAATACTACATTTTATTTGTGCGATGTAGTTATGCCTGAATAGTTGTCCTTTAGGAATTTATTGTTATTTTAATAAAATTTGCTTCACATGTTGATGAGATATCGTTTCTTTTTCAGAGGAGTTGTTGCTAATGCTTATTTCAATGCAGGTCACAAAACTGTTGATAAAATCTCGAATGCCAACTCTCGCTAAACGAGAATTACTGAGGATTTATCTCCTCGCACAGAACGTCTATTCGGACTCATCCTCACTTCAGAGTTTAGTGTAACTCATATATACGAGCCATTGCAAAGATGCTGTGAAAATGGTTGGTACCTTGTACGGCTCCAGGAAGAAACTGTTTTCTCCTACTATTTCTATCATTACAAGAGTTAGAGCAGGACAAATACGGAATCTTTCTGCTATATCTGAACAGCCCTCACTTTCTAGCCATGACAGAGTTCAAACATATAACTATCTTAATTGATTTCTATTTGAATTTACGTTAAAATAATTGTTAACAAGAAAAAAAAATTATTTGGAAAAATCTGTTTCAAAGTAAAAGCAAAAAACAAAAGTTATTCAACTGGAAATAGATTGTCGTAAGAAGTGCTATCATAGTTATCATCTTAATTTATTATTTATTTTATTTCTGATTCTAATAATACATGACAAAATAACAAATTATGATTATTATTTCAGTGTCAAGGATTTTAACAGATTCATTTTCAGTAGTCCTATCAAAACAGCAAGAAGCATAAATTCAAATTATATTTTTCTTGAAGATCGTTTCGGGATCGAATTATTACGAGAACCATTTTTGTTAATCAGTTATCGATGTGTTCAGTTTATTTTAATTGTAAGAATTTTTACAATTATTGTCATGGTTTTTCAGATGATTACCTCGTGCACTTACTCATGAACAAAAAAGCAGGGATTGTTCCCTTTTTCAAAAATACACAGTTTTCATCCGCCCTTCCTTGGCCTTGTTTCGAACAACACTTTTAAAGATGTAAACGTAACAGTGACATTACAATAGCCAGCATCTACTTTGACCTGAAAACATCAGCTGATCTTTCCATGAAATTCTTTGCTCTTTTTATCGATTTTCCTCCAACAAACAGCAAAGCAAAGATTACACTGAATTAAACTAATTCTCTGACTAGTTGCAGTATCACAAGCATACGTATTTAATACTTGTATGTGTAGGTAAGTGTCTGCGTGTATGAGCGTGCGAGCTATATTTTTGTTCCCTTGCTACTGTGCCAATATATCAAACAAAGGTCACCAAGTGTGATCTGCAAACAATTTGAAAAGGGAGTGAATCTGAACCTTACTGAATGCCCCCTGTGCTGTAACTCTATATCTGAATCAGCTAAATTTGGTAGGTATCTATAACTTAAATGTTAAATGTTGTTTTATGTGCATCTACAGTAGAATGCTGAGAATACTATGGACGAAGCATGTGGAAACAAGAAGGACACCTATCAGAAAGTTGAAATTTCTCGGGCAAATAATAAGGAAATAGGGCTTGGAGAATTTGATACTGAGAGGCAAAGATAGACAGCGAAAGATGGGGCATAAAGTACCTAAAGAGCACGTGTAAATGGTCGGAAAAATAAACAGAAGTTTATCAGAGATGACAAAAAGATAAAATTTAAAGGACAGGAAGAAGAAGGTTAATGTAGGTTTGATTTAGATTTTAACATAAGACAAATATTAGTAACTGATATCCAAATATAACATAGCAACCACTTCAAAGAAAGCCTCGAAATATTCGAGCTAATGTTATAGAAAAAGGTGAAAAACAAAAAGATCCATAAACTGCATTAAATAAAATACCCTTTCTAAAAAGAAATTGTTACTTAGTGAATATTTTTAATTTATTGAAAATAAATTTCTTTACGACTTACTTTATTAAAAATAATTAAAAAATATTCACTAAGTAAGAATTTAATCCTTAATAAATTACATTTATTTGATCATAAAAAAACAACTGATACTGACTTGTCTCGTTCCTGATTGGTCCCGGTGCTCAGTCGGCGATGTTGTGTAATTCCCTTTCCGCTTTGGGGTGTATGTACAAACCGCCTTGCTCTTATCACTTTATCAATTATATTCACACCTAAAATATCAAATCGTCTCTGTTTTGCTGACATGTCAACCTGTCAGGGTAGTTTAGGACAGCAATACCTCAGCCTTTTTTCATTCTTTTCGTTCTGACATGTTACAGTATGTACAAACAGCCATGCTCTTATCATTTTATCAATTATATTCACACCGTTCAAAAATATCAAAAAACGGCTGAAATATCCTGCCTTCCTATATTTTGACCCTTATTTCATTCAGTTTAATTTATATAGGAATTGATCTTTACACCTCCACTTTTAATACGAGAAAAAAATTATGTTTTCTAGTTGCCATTCAAAATTGTCCATAAACATCTTTGCAGTGGGGCTACGCGCCGTTCACTTATGGAATTTCCGGGGTTATTTGATCTTTAGAAGGTGACTCATTTAGTTATAATGATACTTTCCAGTTATTTGATGAATTTCTTGATATTAAGATGAAATTCATCTGAACATCAAGAAAATGATTAGACAAATGATAAGGATTATTATAAAAATGAAAAGACATAATTATCTATATTATTCAATGAAAGACAAAAACACACACACATACTCTCCCTCTCTCTCTCATACACACACACACACACACACACATACATACATACATACATATATATATATATATATATATATATATATATATGCATTCATTGAATTAGATCAACAATGACTCATTTGTATTAATTTTTTGCTTGTATAAGAAATTACACACATAAAATAAAATTCATGAAGAGATTCTACGAATTTATATATTTCGTCTGAATATACCACTGCTTATAAGCAAAGCATATCCATACACACACAGCCAAATACATGCACGAACACACACATATGTATATATATGAAGAAATATAGTTTTAAGGTGTGCTATATTTATAGGATGAAGTGCTCAGTATCAGAGATAGAGCGTATGTAAATATAAAATTGGACTTTGAAGTCTGATAATTGCGTCTAGCATGAAACAGTTTGTCGCATGTAGTGTTGACTTAAAGTTCACTTTTATATATATATATATATATATATATATATATATATATATATATATATATATATATATATATATATAAGATATTTGTTTTCCATCTAGATATTTAGCTTAAAAACTAATTTTGCCTTTGTTCTTGATATAATGTATCTAGATGTAAATTATTAAATCATATAATTTTATTTACACATTGAACTGCTGATTTTCTAATTAATTTAATTAAACATTTTTTCTTCTCTATTTACCGCATAAACTCTTCATGCATAATCTTATCTTAAATCAAAAATCAGATTTCCTTTTCCTTCGTAAGTGGTTTAAAGATACATTCTATGCTTCGGGAAATTTTAGAGTTTTGTATTAAATTAGATTAAAAAGAAAAAAAATATAAAAGTAAAGCTATTATTACTTCTCCTCCTCTGCTTACTACTACTACTACTACTACTTCTACTACTAATAATAATGTTTATATAAACACTCGCATGGATTCTTTACGCTGGCTTGTTTACAAAGAAATGTTGTAAATATTACGTCCTCTTTCATATTTTTATTACATAATCAATAAGCATGCATACATGATACTGAAGGCAATTATAATGACAGCATTCACCACCTTAAACAATGAGAGAGTCCAGAAGTCGTCTGGAGGCCGTAGTTGAAACCAATGGCGTTTTATTGAATAAATTTATTCTTTAGTATTTCAAAATATGTTTGTGTAATTTTGGTAAATATATCTTTTAAAATAACATGTCAGTATTATGTTTACTTTTGCGTAACTTAACGACAATTTATTCATCGCACCCTGTCTATACACCGGATTCTGCCGTCCTTTTCGACGTCTGGGGTGACAGCAATTCAGTTCTTAGACCTGAACGACGAGACAACTCGCACATATTATTGGGTTATAGGGGTGAACTAACCTTTTCGAAGTTCCGTATACAAAGAACTTTTACGTATAGTGGTAGAAGGCCACCAAATCACCCTCCTTAGTTTTAGAATTCTTTTACGGGTACCCGATGCCATATGACTCACTTTGTCTTTTTAACCATAGTTCGGTGCCGGTAGAAGAAATGGATTCATATCTTTCCTAAGGCTATTTGCACGATGTGAATCTAACGAAATCCACTGGAATTCGAACTCATTTACTCCCAATGACCACCCCCATTGTATTATATACCACACACACACACACATTCTCTCTATTACTTTCTCTCACACAAATCTATCTATCTATCTATCTATCTATCTATCTATCTATCTATCTATCTATAAACACACCTATATGTGTGTGTGTTTGTGAGGGAGGTTGTATTTAAGTGCCCAATCTTATTTGAAAGGAATCTTTTTTGTAAATAATTTCATGAATGTTCCTGTAAGTTAACAGCGTATAGAAGTTGTATCCACAGTCTATTGTTATCGAACATCTCCTAAGATTTTTAGAGATCACAATAAGCACATATATTCTGAAACTACATAAACCCAGGGCACTTGAAAGTATAATTATATATGTATATTCAGTTGTATGACTATGAGTTTGTGAGCCAAAGCTTAACGCTTTTGCTATCATAAGGAAAAATGTTTAAAAAAAAATAATAAACCGGTTTGTTTGATGATCACAAAATCATGAAACTTGCGGCCATAGACTCATATCCACATAACGGAATATTTTAGCTCTATCACTATCACTCATATTGAGCGTTTTCTCCTAATTACTGCGCATATAAAATAATATATATATATGGACGAGCGAAGCTTATGCTTTCTTGCCGAAAATAAAACAACTTTGTATTAAATAAATTTAATCAGTTATATCCAAATTTACTCTGATTTCTCCTTTATGTCTTAAATTCAGTGTCACATAAATTAGGAAAAGCGAAAAACGATAAAAACAAAGAAAAATAATAAAAACACTATGAAGCGCCTTAAGAAATGAAGTACATTCGATTTGAAGTATTTCACGGGCTTCCTTTCTCGAGACATTATCGATCGCTTCAAAAAACAGCTTTGTATCTTCTGAGGGCTGCATGGCTTTGTGTATGGCTTTTATTCGGTATGGTCGCTGATTCAAAGAAATCAATTTATTTTTTAAAGTAATTTTCCAATTTATTAGCTAATTTGTTTCCTTAAACGCAGACGTGGGTCTTCCTGTTGGCCAAAGATGTCGGCGTTGGACTTCAGAAAGAATCGATTTAGAAGCGTTGGCAAACAACTCATATAACGTACATATATGGAATCATCCAATATACACACACACACACACACACACACACATATATATATATATATATATAATAATCGAATGATAAAATGAAAGCAAATTGTTAGTCTCATATATATTTGCATATTCCATATATAATATATAAGAATATATGCACACATACATAGGAATATATTTTCATTACTTTAAACATTATTTTTAGTGGACACATCTATTTGAGTTAACGTTCCGTTTATTTTTTAAAGCATTAATTTTATTTCGTCTACCGGTCTAAACCTTTGAGAAATCTAATTAAAAATCCACCCCCCCACCCCCACTACGATGCCAATCTGCGACCCCCTGTCAAGGAGAAACTGTCGTTTGATGCGGAGAGCTTCATAATCAAGGATTGTTCTATTTGCCTTTAGAACACCCTTTACTAGTTCAGATTTCATAAGAAGTCATAACTCCTTAGAGAGAAATATATATATATATATATATATATATATATATAATTATTTATTAAAAAATATGTTTCCATTGTGACTCAGAAATGACTATGTCCCATAAACCAAAACAAATGCTAACGGACTGTGGATTATAAATCTGACAGTTCTTTCTTCTTATTTTTGATACTTGGTATATATATATATATATATATATATATATATATATATATATATATATATATATATATATGTATGTATGTATGTGTGTGTGTGTATGTGTGTCTGTGTGTATGGAACCTGGTTAAAAAATTGTAGAAAAATGCTATAAATTTAAGTACTATCACGGGAATTTTTTTTCTTTTGTACAAAACCGGTACATACAGAAATTAAATAATTTTCTACATTCACTGTTGTATTCATATGCAAATCTCTACCATATAAATAACAGTTTATACAGCCGCTGGCTAAAAATAGTCCTGACCTTGGTCAGTGCTTGAGACCATTTTTTTTTGCTTTTGCGAAGTACTATTTTTTACAAACTCGAGTCTGAATATTTAATGTTTTTAATTTTTATTTTCGAAAACTTTATTTTCTGAAACTTTGCATTTTTCAGTTAAAAGAACTAGAGAATAGGAGGAGGACGCTGAAGAACCCATAGATAAACGTGTCGGCCAAAATAGAGGTCTTCGTCAGATCCGGTTTCACCAGGACAATCTAGAATAGAACTGCCCAAAGCTATGAGCCTACCCACTCGAGTTCCATTCCCTTTTCCCTCTATCTGCACTGCCAGTTCAATATCCCCTCCCCTCACTCTTACACTTCTTCGCCACCCCCATCGTGCCAGGAAAAGAAAAAGAAAAAAAATCAAGTTTTTTCCTTGACGCGGAAAACATTTGCAAGGTAGATGTGGATCAAGTGAAAAAGAGCCTATCAAGCTATAAAAGATCATTACTGAGCCTTCCGATGAAAATGCACACAGTAAATGGGAAAACCATTGAGAATCCCCAAAACTTTCCTGGTGCTCCTGGGATAATCATTTGTGTAAGGGACACAGGTGGCTACCTAAAAGTTTGGGCGCATCCGGTGGAAGCGCCAGAAGCATTCCCAAAAATTAAAATGCTGATAACAGATGATGACTACTTGAAAAAATGAAGACAATATTGTTCGGGGAGGGATCGGGGTAAGGCTGCTCGCTTGCTTCGTGATCTCTTGTCGTTTGGCGTAGATGTCGCCGGAATTTAAGAGACACACATTGTTTGCAACGTCGATGCTTGTGTGCTGTCTGTCGGCTTTGTCGTCTATTCAGCATATGGGAACCGAGAGTCCAGAGTAATTTCTTTGCTGGTGAAGCGTAATCTTGATGCGAATGTGGACTTTCTGCATACCGATGCTGAGGGCCGGTTGATCGTGGTCGATATTGCCGTGAAATGAGGTTCGTTTCGGGGCGTTGCGGTTTATGCGCCCAACGACCGGGAGAAGCGAGTCTCGTTTTTTCGGCAGTTCGGGCCATTCCTGGTGGATTCAACACGCCTAGATTTAATGGGTGACTGGAAGGCCATTCTGGACCCCAAGTTAGACAGGGGACGGGGAGCTAGCGGGTGTAGGGGCGAGCGTAGCCTGGTTGATCTGATCGAAGAGTTGGTCTCGTCGATAGACACCGGATCGATCACTTTGACGGGAAAATGCGGACGTGGGCTCTTAATTGGCGTTTTACCCGGGTAGTTAGTTACCTGGATAGAATGTTAGTTAGAGGAGCCGACGTAGACTTGTTAGATTGTCCCACGTTCCGATGGGCAGGCTATTCCGATCACAAACTCGTTTGTGCCCGCGTGGCGTTAGATCGTAGGCTAAGAATGGCTGGTTACTGGAAGTTCAATCTAACTTTACTAGAGTGGCAGGACTTCCAGGAGCAGCTAACTAACTTGCAGTGGGGACGTTTATCGGGAATAAGTGGTGGGAGAGACTTGAGAGTAGTATTAGGTCAATCACCACTGATTTCAGCAAACGGTTCGCCCTAGATAGAGCTGAACAGGTGAAGACGCTTAAGGCTAGTTTTTTCCCGGGTGGTGGCTGGGGTGACTCCTAGACATAGCATTAGCTAGGGAGGCCGTGGAGCGTTTGACTAGCGAGTGTTACATGGGTCAGGTAATTAGACATAGTTTAAGCAAGATGTCTTCCGAAGCTGTGAACATGGGCGCAGACTTGCTCAAAGAAGAGATCCGTCGAAGGTCCGATCGGCACATTAGTGAGGTCATAACACCGGAGGTGCGTAATCTTCGGGCCACTGTGCGAGGCGTTTCGGTGGCATTTGGAGAACCGGTTTACCATGGAGCCTGGTCTTCGTGAGGACAAGTTTTCCAGCTGTTTGGCTGACTTTCCTCAGCTTTCGCTTACTGAAGAAGCTAGCTTCGAGGGGGAGATAAGGGAAGGCGAGGTCTACGCGGCATTGAAGAAGGTCAGTAGAGGCAAGTCCCCTGGACTGGATGGTTTGCCCTATGAATTGTACTTGAGGCTGTCGCACATCTTTTTCCAGAATTTGTTTGTCGTGTTCAACAACTGGTTCTGGCAGGGGGCCATCCCCAACCGGTTCTCCAGTTAAAGATGTTGGCCAAGATCCTGCATCTGATCCACACGAACATAGAGGGTGAAAAAACGACGATGAGGTCGCGCTGATCAATTTAGATCAGTCCAAAGCATTTGATAGGTTTGGCCATCGCTACCTTGCTGCTGTCCTGCAGGCCGCCGGATTCGAACCCGACTTCTGCCGCTGGATTAACCTGCCGTATCCACCCCACAAGGTGCTGTGGTACAGGTGAACGGGAAGCTGTCGGGAGCTTTTGCGCTGTCTAGGTCGGTTCATCATGTTTGTCTATTGTATGCTTTGGCGTTGGAGCCTCTCTTTCGCCTGCTGAGGGACAGGGCGTACAGTCCCATCCCACGTGGAATCGCCGTTTCGGGAGGGGCTTGAGCCAGGGTTTCCGCGTACTCCGATGAAGTATCTGCTTTCGTGTCGTCCTGCAGCGACATTGAGACGGTACTGAAGGCGCTTTATCGGTACAAAATGTGACAGAGGCCAAGATTAACCGCGACAAGTCGTCCGGCTTGCAGTTAGGTGCCTTGAAGGGGGTCGATATTCCTGTCCACATTCCTGGAGTGTGGTTTGGACCCGACCTCCAACTGGAGAAAAATTGTTCTGTAGTACGAGCAAAGGTCGACGCTGCAGGTCAGACTTGGCGTCGACGGAGGTCGTCCGTGAAGAGCAGGCCGGAGGCGTGTACTACATACGTTTTCCCGATTGTCCGTATTTCCTCTCTGTAAAGGCCAGAGAAAAGCGCTCGAGCGCTCGTTATCCTCAATTTTATGGAGGGGACGCGGGCATAAGGTCGACAGACAAGTCTGTGCACTACGTCCAAGTTAAGGTGGGGTATGAATGCCACACTTGGTAAGCCACAAACTCGCCTCGATGCTGGCTTTTCAACGCCGCGCATTGACAGGAGATTCGATTGTGGTGGCGATTGTTAGCGACGCGTTCACCTTCCTTACTATCCGTCCCCGCATCTCGCGGATTGAGCGCCATCGTAACCCCCCGGATAAATCGGATTTCCTTCGTGAGTTTCGGTCGGCCTTGTTGGCTATTC